TCACAGATTTCTGCTAAGTAATGCTGGCTGGTGGTTTCTCCCCCTCAATTTTTATTACTTTTTCAAGTCAAGAAACAAAGTTATACAAAGTAGATTTGTGAAACAGGTAATTTACAAGCATCAACATTGGAAAAACGTAATACAATATTAGACTAGAACAATGGATGCATCAGGTATTACCCTTCATATTTAATATCTTCTAAATGGCTGTAATCTGTCCTGCAATTAATCTACATTTCCCCCATTTCCCTATGCTTTCAAAAATCGCAGTTTCATCATTATTGCAATATCACATACGCTGGAGAACCGCACATCTATGCTAAGAATCTAAGTGGTTTTCCAATATGTTGTTATAATTCTTTCATAAAGCTCATTATTGGTCTTAAATATATAGGCCCCAAAGAGCACTTCGGTCGGGGTCACAATCAATGTTCCCTCTAAGCTGTGGAGTCTTGTGAGCAAAAATTCTACTTTGTGAGCTACTGGCATTAAAGTTGTGAGCAAGCTATTTGGCTACTGCATAAATTAGTTTGCTCTGGAGCCATTTTTCCTGAGCTAAAACAAAAATGTTTGAGCCAGAGGCTAAAAAACTGTGAGCTAGCTCACACTAACTCAGCTTAGAGGGAACACTGGTCACAATTCCATCTGGTAACCCCGGGCCCTAAAGAGGCCAGGCTAGCTACCACGAGGGCCAGGTCCTTTTCGGTGGCGGCTCCTACCTGGTGGAATGAGCTCCCGAAGGAGATCAGGGCTCTGCGGGACCTTTTACAGTTCCGCAGAGCCTGCAAGACGGACCTCTTCCGCCAGGCTTTTGAGTAGGAGCTGCCGCTGCCACTACCACCACCGCATAATTGTGGAGCAGGACCGGCGGGTTGGGCCGATGGAGTAATTGGAACATCATGGCTCATGGTGTCCCCCTTCTGACCTCGGACCCCCTCCTGATATACAATGGAGAGTGTGTAATTTTAGCCTTTCATGTATCCAGTGAGCTGTGAATTTTTTAGCTTTAGTTGTTTTAATCTATTTATTTTTATTGCACTTGTGACTTGTAAGCCGCCCTGAGCCTGCATGCGGGGAGGGCGGGATATAAATGGAAATAAATAAATAAATAAATAAAAAGGTGCCACTGGACTCAAACTTTGTTCTATTAATTTTCTACGTCTTTGAGACACCCTCCCCCCCTTTTTTTCTTTCTTGCCACCAAGTTACAGCTGGCTTATGGCAACTCTGTGTGTTTTCAAAGCAAGAGACGTTCAGAGGTGGTTTGCCGACCCTGCTGAGCTTCCAAGATCTGATGAGATCTGCCTAGCCTGGGCTATCCAGGTCAGGGTGTGTTAGGCACACAAATTCACCTTTCCTCCAGGAATAGACAGCACAGAAAGAAAGAAAAAACCTAGCAAGGTATCTCTCTCTCTTAGTCACTTCTCATCAAGGGCCTGAAACATGCACACAATTTGCCAGACTCAGTTAATCACATCATGATTCAAATCTGAAGAAACAGTATGAACTTAATTCCCTTACTGCAGCTTCACCTCTGTGCTACCTTTTGTACTGGATGAGTCACTTCTCTCCCTGAAGTAGTTAGAAGCAGGTAAGTATCTTAATACTTTTGCAAAATTAATTATCAGAGCAGCCTTCTGGTGTAAAACTACTCAATAGACCCAATGCCAGATAAGAAATCTGCCTGTTCCCATTTGTCAGAGATAAATGGCTCATCTGTCACCCCCTCCCCCAAAATGATCACCCAGAGGTTCTACAAAATTAAGATTCAGTCTCACAGAGATTGATGATATTGTCAGGTATGATACAAGATAATGGATCTAAATGGGAATGAGATTCCTTTAAGGGAGGAAAATGGGTGCCCTTGGATAGTTAGCAGAAAAAGCCTGTGCCTATCTCCAGCTAAGAAAAAAGTAGTTAATCTTTCCAACACCCTCTGTACCTACTTCTCCCATAGTGGCTTCGGTCACACACACTAAATAATCTATTTCCAATCCACTTTCAGTGCACTTTCCAACTGGATTTTTACTGTGCAAAATCCACTTGGAAAGTGCATTGAAAGTGGATTATTTAGTGTGTGTGTGACCGCAGCCAGTGTAATCCTAAAGAGAGTTATACCCTTCTAAGGTCCCTGCCACACGAGGGACAAAAAGAACTGGCAAAGTGCGGCTTTTAAAAGCCACACCAAAATAGGCACATTGAGGCGGGATCATACAGATCCCGTGAGCCGCCGTGCAGTTGCTCCCCAGCACGATCAGATGCCGGGGAGACGTGGAGGAAGCCACGGGAGGCTGCCGAACTGCGCATGTCTGAGCATGCGCAGTTCGGCCAGGACCCGGGGATGTGCCGGCGGAAGAACGCGCCGGCGATCCCACGGCCGGCTTTGATGCGGCCGTTCGGAAAGAACCACCTCGGTATTTGTAAATAAGTGTTTCTAAGAAATGATATACTATCTGTATAACTCTTTCAACCTACCCTTATGGAGTGAGGTTTACAAACTTACTGCATCAAAAATGTGGCACCGAACTTGAATTATTCCAGTAGTCCTGGTTGCCGCGCTCTTCTCTACCCTAAGGAGTCTCAAAGCAGCTTACATTCATCATCCTTTCCTCTCCCCACAACAGGCACCTTATGAGGTAGGCTTTCAAAAAGTAGTGATGCAAACAAATAGGATGGCTGTTGAGAGCAAGCATGGTAGTGGCGGGCTCTGATCTGGAGAACCGGGTTTGATTCCTCACTCTTCCACATGAATCCTGCTGGGTGACATTGGGCCAGTCGCAGTTCTCTTAGAACTCTCACAGCCCCACCTACCTCACAAGGTGCCTGTTCTGGGGAGGGAAAGGGAATGTGATTGTAAGCAGCAAAATGTTTAGAATGTTGGAGGCAGGACTCAGGCAAAGCAGCCAGTGGATAGGGAGACCCTCTGAATGACAGATCAGAGAGCGAACTGATTTTGGAGCGTGTGGAATGTTCTAGAGAAGTGCCACCACCATTCAGCTTTTATTTATAAGGGAGATTTTATTTGTCAGTCTTCAACCACTTTCTCCCATTCCTGTCTTGGTGTTCTGGAAAGAATGGTATTGCTTCTGATTTGTGCAACACCTAGCACATTAGTGTTAAATAAATGCTAAATAACAGTAGTAATTTTCAACATCATCCCGTTTTGTCTCATTACCCAATGTTTGTTCTTGAGATAGCAGATTGCTGTCTCCTGTCAAAGTATGTTGTAGTCTGATATCCTAGTATGTAACCAGCAAGTAACTGAATCAACCCTGTTATGGCCAGAGTCCGTGCCCTCAACTAGAATAGTAAGAGATCCATTTGCTTCTTAATGCACTTTTTAAAATATATTTCTGGGCCTATAGGAGAAAAGAATAATAATTTCAGGGAGCAGGGATGAGAGGCAGGGGGAAAAGTCTATAGTAAATAAAGAGTAACAACATTATGGCAGAATAAAACAGAGGGACAACTCCAGTTGGTCAGGGTGAAAACGCAACTGATTTAAAGCTACAGATCACACATTGCAGTGCAAAATTGTCATTCTATTAGAAATGATTAGAAGAGAGACAGGGCACAGCCTGATAATATTTCATGCCTCGCTAAATGTGATGCCATAGAGCTATCAGTTCATTAACATTGTTGGACATAACTTTAATGAGTTTGTATTAAATGACTAACATGTGACATCTCCCTGCATTCCTCTCACTCTAATCTCTTATCATCCATTTGCCAAGGAAAGCAAAAACTGATTACTGCTTCCAAGTATTTCTTGCTGTTCTTTATATTTTTGCACTGGAGCTTTAATCCTCACCTTAATCTCTCCTGTTTCCACTGTCCCCTCCCCAGGCTATCATACTACCTGCCGTTTCATTGGTGTTATCTAAACAATCATGTATTAGAGCACCTCATCTCTGTAGCTGAAAAGCATATGATATTGGAAACTGCTCCCTTCCAATAAGCGGTGATCCCTCATTCAATATTCACAGCCCACCATATTGCCATCCTAGGGAGGGCACAGTAAAAATGAAAACAGATTGATTATTACTGTATTGATTTTGCCCGTAAAACGGTGACTGCAACTTGCTGTGATTAATGGGTGTCAGCGTTCCAGAGCTGCTGTTACTTCCTGGGTTTATGTTCTGCCTGCCCTTTAATTCTTCGGTAGCACCAAATGTACACCCACATATTGGGGGCATCGCCAGACAGTGGAGGTAGGTGGAGGAGGCTGGCCCACCACCAGTGAGGTGGCATTTTGGGGTAGCTGGCTGCTGATTGGGCAGTTGCCTGTGTTCAAACTACAATATTGTTCTTCCCTCTCTGGGAGCCTTTCTTCAGCCTTCCCTATTCACTCCTGGAAGGTGACCCAAGTTAGGAAGACAGCTGGCCTGACTTGAATTGTTGACATTGGCTAAAAACTGGTTTTGTTTTGAAATAGCAAGTATAGGTATAAGGGAGTGGTCTGTTGTTTTGAGGCCCAGATCCCACCTCTGTCTTTTATTCAATTAGTGGCCTTGGACAAGCTGTTTCTCTCCACTTTAATCTGTTTGCATGCGACCAGCCAAATGCTGCTAGAAAGCCTGCAAAAACCAGGGATGAGGACAGCAGTGTGCCCGTGCTGTTCGCCTTCAGCATCTGGTGTTTAGGATATGTGCTGCCTTCTCCCATGCTTTGTGTCATGTTCCCCATCTCTAATGTGGGTAAATTTGTTCTTTAAGAAAATCTTCTACATGCTTAATTATTTCATTATATAGTGCCTATCATGGGATTTGACCGGTAGTCCATGGTTTGGCTCACATTTTTGAAGTATCCTCTCTGCAGAAAGAATTTTCTGCTTTCTGATTGTGGAACAATTGTAGCTGGATTATGTACCTCAAACCTCTGAACTGAACATTTTTATGCTTGAACAAAGTCATTCTCCATTTTCTATTCTTGTAATATGTGCTCCATAGTTCCAACTCTGCAGTAATACCTGTTTTTCCCTCATTTTTGTTTTTGTGCAGGTGCTTTTGAGCCAGGTACATCGGCTGCGAGCTCTTGATTTGCTGGGCCGGTTTTTGGACCTTGGTCCCTGGGCTGTTAGCTTGGTGAGTCTATATTGTGACCTTCTCTTCGGAGATGGGAGGTTTTTCTCTGTATAATCAGCATGTATGAGTGATGAACTTATACATGCAGTATGTGGAAAAGAATGTCTCATGAGTCTGTAGCAATGGCTGCTATCTATCAGCAGTCAGGACCCTTTTCATATGTAGTGCACATTAGCTGAATACTGCAGTCCCTACCCTTGCTTGGTGTCTCCAATTCTGTCTGCAGCTGAGTGCAAGCAGTAATAAGAAAGGTGATGTGAATGCTCATCTTCTTAAGGCATGTTAAATTTATTGAACAAGGTGATTGGGTAAAATGAGAATAGGAAACTAGATCAACTACAAGCTGTTGTAAATTTTACCCAGACTTCTGGCATGGTCCATAAGAATATGAGTCACCTTAGAGGAGAATTCTGTTTAAAATTATTTGAGAGCTTGAACTATTCATGGTTGAGTGCACATGTAGTTGAGGGTCACAGTTTATTTTTAAAAGGAAAAGTTCAAACAAATTAAAAATGAGAAGAAGCAAAGAATAGAACACTATATCAATTAAAAATTATTGGAGGTTTCTAGTGAAAAGCTTATTTCTCAACTTGTTTGAGAGCTAGAGGTCTCAGCAGAACATCATAAATGTACTGAGTGAAAATTGATGCTAGAAAGCTGTGACTCTGGGCAGGCCAAATGTGTTAGAAAGTACCAGCTAACATCCAGATGTAAAAGTCTGAAAAGAACCTGCAGGGATAGTCATATCAGGCATTCCTAATGGCATTGAAGTATGGGGATGGATGGGGGATAACATAAGTCAGTCTGTTCACCTCACACTCTACACATTCAAAGGTTATATTCTATTCTCAATTTTCTTCCCTTAGGCTTTGTCTGTTGGCATTTTCCCCTATGTGTTAAAGCTCCTCCAGAGTTCCGCTCGAGAACTGAGACCTCTACTTGTGTTCATCTGGGCCAAAATCCTTGCCGTGGACAGTGTGAGTAACCATATTAATATGGTGGGGATGTAGAATATGTTATAAGTCCACCCTCCTTTATCTCTGTAGATTGTGTGAGATAGCTTGTTTGTGCTTGGTGAGAGAGAGAAGCTTGCCCAAAGTGACTGAACTGCATCCATGATCAAGTTGAGTTTCATTGCAGATTTTGCAGACTCCAGCCCAGACATCTGTCTGTTAGGTCTTGTCACGGGCAGTGGCTAGGAAGGTTCACTACTGGCTGCAACCACTCTGGTATGGGTCTCTTTGGGAGGGCCTGGAGCACCCACCCTTCCCCTTTTTACAGTACTTTTACAACAGGTTTCTTCATGTACGTGACCAAATGAGGCATGAGGACCCGGGTAGAATAGCAAATAGTTTTATTAAGAGATTTAACTACAACTTGAAATCTAGAACAAATAGAAAAAATGAGCAAAGTAAAGGCAGGTAAATCAGTAAAATAATAAAGCCTAACACATCTGTCTACACAGTCCTAGCCTTCCCTAGGTGCCTGTTCACACCCTCCCCCCTTTTGGATAGGGGTGCCCACCCCCCCCCCCCCCGGTTTAGCAGGGGTCCCCCACTTTTGGGGTGTTTCTACCCACTGGGGGAATTCCTGTAGGCCCTGATTATTACTCCAGTGCAGGCTTCCCGGGAGCCCTAGAGCCTAAAGGCCGCACTACAGGCCCATGATCATGGCAGGTCTATGGGTGCTGTCAGACGGTGTGCTGAGAGCGGGTTAAACTGCTCCGGTTCTAACCGGATTATATTTAATCTGGATAACTGTGATCACATTTACCTCCCTTATCCCGCCTCACCGCGCAGTCACGTCGCTCCCCGGTGTCTACACTACCAACGCCGGGAGCATGTGTCGGTGTTTTTACAAAATTTTCTGTTTGCACATGTGCATATGCACCCCTCCGTAGAATGGGGGGGGGAACTACCATGGCGCATGCACAGAACCACCAGGGCGAATCAATCCAACCCCTCCAACAAAAGACTTCCCTTTAAACGTTTGACCCGAAAATGGCCTCCATGAGATCCCGAACTCATCTAAATGCTAAAACAAGTGACTGTTTATCTGTTTTCTAAATGCGGTGGCGGAGCTCTGCCTATGCGCACACTGCCAATGCATTAAAAAAATGGCGGGCGAAAAGCGGAAGCCTCGGGCAGCTTTCAAGTGGGGAGGGGGTTTAAACTGGAAATGGCTTGACACCAGAGGAGCGATCCATAGGGGGGAAATGCAGCTTTAAATGGGAGAGCTGAGAAAACACCACTTTGGGACCTGGTAACAAAATACTCCAAGTTAAAGCGGTTTTGAGCCGGACACCAACATCTGGGGACGGGAGGTGGATGTTGACTGTGTAATCGTGCAGATAAAATCCATTGCTGAACTGTCACAACACCAGATCAAATGGCGCGTCTGAACGCGCCCTATGTGTGCCTCAGCTTCTCCTTCTATCCCTTTTTCATCCCTTTTCTCTTCCTGCCTCACACTCTCTCATTTTTTGATGCCCACTCTTTTCTGTCAATTTAAAGTTATTTCCCAACTTTTGTTCAGAAATTAGGGTGGCAGGAGACGCAGGCTGCAGCGAGGCAAGACAGATGCTTCTTTAAGCGCTCTGGCCACTTCTGGGTTTTTAAAGGGTCTTTCGCTGGAGCGGAGACCCACAACTCCCCCGGAGAAGGGGGGGTAGGCTGCAGAGGCTTGATCCGTACCCCCGTGTAGTGGCTACTCGTTGGATTGCCTCCATCGTGGACCCTGAAAAGGAGCCCATCTCGACTGGGCAGAGCTGTCGCTTCCTGCACCGGGGGGGGGGGTTAGAAACCGAGCCAAAGAAATGCATGGACTGATGTGAGTAATTAACATCTCTTTGGGCATTTAGAGAAAAAGACTATGTAAACTTTGCCCAAAAGTTACCTCAACAAAGGCAGGAGGTTTTCCCCCCGGGATAAGCGGCAAGCGAGAGGAGACGGAGCTTACTTTCACTTTTTAATTCAGGGCAAGGCTTGAATATAAAGCAGCTGGTGCAACTGATTGCTTTATTGCCATAGTGATTTAAACTGCTTGTTAACAGAGGATAGAGACCCCTTTCAGCTATCTCAATTTTTACCCCAGCAGGGGCAAGGTGAGGAGCATTAGGACACCCTCTATAAATCTTTTTCTTGGGTCTCAAAAAGAATAATAATCGTATTTAAGAGGAAACTACCTAATTATCATAAGACTGTAACAAGCTTACAATAAGTGAAGGGAACCTTAGAGAGAAGGTACAGGTTTCCTAATTTGGAAGCAAAAAGGGTCGCATTGTTCTGCTGACCCCCCCCCTTTTTTAGATATTCGGATGGTAAGCAAGAGGACTGGAAGGTGGCAAGGCAAATTTAAGGGAGAAGGTGAGAACTATGAAGTGACCTTGAGACACATTTTTGTGGTCAAGCTTTCAAAATACAGCTTGGCAAGGTAAACCTAAACAACAACTCAGTTGACAAAATAAAATCTTGGAAGACTACTAGAGGTGCCCGGTATTCCAAAACAACCCTTGGAAGAGGAAAATAAAGAGTGATGCTAAAGTGGAAGAAAAACATTTGGCATTTTGCCAAAATTTGAGAATTTTTGGATAATGCTTTGGTTAAGTCAGGATGGAGAAAACAGGCCAAGCAAGTCAAATTAAACAAGTTAAAATGCTGAGCTCTTTGCCAGTTCTGCCTGGCTCTGCTAGGGCAAAGCTCTCAGCAACCACACAGAAGGAGATGCAGCCGTTGGTCCAGGCAATGATCCAGAATTTGATAATTGAAGTGGTCAATCCAATTAAAAACACGATGAAAGAGGTACAAAACTCAATCACCGTAGCAGTGGATCCCATCAAAATTGTGATGAAAGAGATAACTGAAAAGTTCTCCACAAGCTTACAACCACTCCAGAAACAAATAACAGATAATACTCAAAAGATCAGCAAATTGACTAAAACTACATAAAAACTAGAAATTAAGACAAAGGAGATGGAGACCAAGATTAGAGATACAGACGCGAGGCAGTCTACCCTGGAGCAAGATGTTATGAGACTTCAAGTTGAGAAAGCTGCATTTGTTCTGAGATTTCAAAACATACCTGAGGAACAGAATGAAGACTTACTAAAATGACAAAAATCCTAGCCAAGCATATGAATATGGGTGACGAAGATGAGATCAGCCAGGAAATTGACACAGTCTTTAGAATGAATTTGGCCTATGCAAGGAGATTTCAAGTACCAAGAGAAGTACATGTACGCTTCCATAAGAGGGCACTCAGAGATAAGATCTTGAAAGAAGTGAATGCAGTACCATTGAGGATAGAAGAGATGGAAATCAACGTACTGAAAGCAATCCCCTGGAGAGTTAGAGAGAAGAGAATATATGAAGTTGACAATACTGTTAAGAGATAATACTATATATTATAGGTGGCTGTTACCTGAAGGCTTGATCTTCACCTACAAAGGCAAGAAACATAGGATAACATCAACCTTTAAGGCAGAGGACTTCCTAAAAGCCTATGGAGATGAGCTATCAGCAGAACAAGAGGAAAAGGAAGAGGGAGAAGAAGAGGAGAGAGAAGAAGATTTAAGAGGAGCGACTGCTCCAACTCTTAAACCTCGGAGACTTAGGAAACCAGGAACGACAAGAACAACTCCAGTTGCCACGAGACAATACACAAAAGAAAAACAGGAGAAACAGAAACAGAATCAAGATGGATAAAGGGAAAATGAAAATTGTTTCAGTGAACGTGAATGGTTTAAATAGCCCACAGAAAAGGAGGAGGATATTCCACCAACTTAGAAAACAAAATTCGGATATCACATGTCTTCAAGAAACCCATATTTAAAAAGGGATGAAAAACACATGCAAGTTAAAGGTTTAGGCAAAGTATTTTTAGCATCGGATAAAGAGAAGAAGAAAAGAGGGGTAGCTACATTTGTAAAGGAGCATCTGCAACCGGAACAAATTTATAAATCACAGGATGGAAGAATTTTGATGATTTCAGTACAAAGACAAAGGGAAAGAATTCTGATAGTAAACATATATGCTCCAAATCAACATCAAGAAAATTTTTACAGGAGGCTACAAAACGTGATCGTTAAACAAGAGTTCCAAGAGATTTGTATCATAGGAGATTTCAATGTGGTTTTTGACAAAAAGGAGGACAGGAAAACAAATTTGCTTAAAAATAAAAAGAAAGGAAAGAAGAAAGGCGGGAACGATTTCCCTCCTGCATTGCACCAACTTTTGGAAGAGTTAAGGTTGGTGGATGTTTGGAGGGTAAGAAAACCCATGAAACAACAATACACTTTTCAGCCAGACATGACTGGTTAGATATGTGATCAGGTTAGATATGTGTTAGATGTCTACTATGGTCATTAAAGATTTACTGGAAGCAGAGATTGAAGCTGGAACTTATGCAGATCACAAGCCTATAACTGTGGAATTACAAGAAGCTAAGCCTAGAAATAGATGGACATTAAATACGTCCCTCTTGAAAAATGGAAAATTTGTTAGTAAAATGAAGGAAGAGCTTAAATTGTTCTTTGTAGAAAATTTACATCCAAATATGTCTATAAATTTGGTTTGGGACACCTGTAAAGCCTTCTCTAGAGGCTGCATAATAAAAGAATCAGCAAGAGTGAACAAACAAAGGAGACAAGAATATGCTAACCTCAAGAAAGAAGTTCAGATCCGAAAAACATCCGGGGCAATAGCGCAGCACGTGGGTGTTCAGTGGAGACGCTCTCGACTGGCCCCATCCTTTTTTGCTTCTTTGGAGCCCCCTGGGTCCTAGAGACAGCCGGGGGCTTCACCAGACCTCCCAGAGAGAGGCTGGCTGCAGGAAACTTGATCGGACGACCCTTAAACGGCGGTTGGGGGGTTGTGCCAGATTTGTTTTGACACGGGAGCGAAGAACGGAGCAGCGTAGTCCGCCATGTTTGCACAGCTGTGATTGCACCTTTTAAACTTTTGGATTTACAGTTATTATT